ATTAATTATAACTATTTTTATATAAATATAAAAAAATTGCTAAGTATTTATTGAAACTTAAAAACTTTATTATATGTTATCAAACAGATTGGTATTGGATCGATCCAAATCTGGGCATGCCTGACGACGCTATCTATGTATATTGTAACATCTCGAACATGGGTGAGACTTGCGTATTTCCCGATATTCATAGTAGTCATATGCCAAATATACCATGGAAGAAGGAGAACAATAAAATTGATTGGTACTCGCGTTTACGTGGAGGATTCAGAGTAAGATTGACAAAATTCTCATTTATGAATCTGTGATTAATTGTTCCTATGTTCTTCCTAAAATTTTTTGACAAAGAAATTCATATATAAATAAAAAGAATACATCTTACGATACACTTCTGTGTAATTATCTCTCTCTCTCTCTCTCTTTTTCTCTCTCTCCCTTTCTCGCATTAATTCTTGTATGATTCGAAATTATCGTCAAAATTACATAGAAGATATTAACATCGTAATTCATCTGAAGATCTAGCCATTCGTATGTATATTTTAATATTTCAGAGAAGATATAAATTTCGTTATTGCACATAAATCGCATTTTCATATTTACTATACACATAAAAATTTTTGATTTGAAGCTCATAAATGAGACATCACTTTCTAAGAATTGTAAAGTGAAAAAAAACATAGTAAATCTAAAAACATAATAAAATTCATCGAGTAAAAAGGTATCTTTTAAAACAAATTTTTAAATAAATTTTACTTATTGATATTATTTCTTAAATCAGAAAATTCAAAATTTTGACATAAATAAATGTATAAATACATAGATGAATAAAAATGCAAAAAATTAGCGTTTATCGAAATAATGTATGTCTTTCTAGATAACGTACGAGACGATCGGAATAGTACAAATGAAAGTCTTGCGTCTGCTCAGTCAAGAGGCTTATCAAAACTTTACGTATACGTGCGTTAACAGTATCGCCTGGTATAACAGTGACGATCCGACTCATGGTTATGACCTTTCGCTGCGATTACTCGGCGACAACGAGGACGAATTCTCGTACAACGTTATCAGACCCCAGATAGTCACAGACGGCTGCAAGGATCGAAATAATAAGGCCGAGACCGTGTTTTTAATTCGCACCAGGAAGCCGCAGCAATTGCCGCTGGTGGACTTTTTCCCGATCGATTATGGATTGTCGCGGCAGGCCTTTGGTTTCACGATCGGGCCGGTGTGTTTCAAGTAAGCACAGTAGTGAATTGATTGCATTCTAATCTTTTTTGCAGTTATTAACTTTTTTGGTATATAAATAAGTACAGAAACATGTTGTGCATATACAATAATTATCTCTAGCATCTAACAACAGAAATAAAAGCTTAACGTAATTTGATATAAGAAAATTTTAAGTCTTCCTTCATATTTTCATTTTTATAGAGAGATTCTACAAGACAATAAAATCAATAACCTTTTTCATCATTTTATATCATTTTATAAACTAATTCTTTGCTTTAATGATGACTTTTTATTATAATATACTAACGATTTTTACTTATTTTTATAGAACAATAGCGATAAAAAACGAAGAGATAATTACTTTTTAATAATTCTTTTCACACTCACACACACACACACACATTTCGTATTTTATAAAAATATTTTATTTTATTGTAATTTTTTGTCTTGCGTTTCAGAAAAATTGTTGATTTATATTTTAATGTCATTATAACAAATCACATTAGGATTTTAACTTTTGTTAGATTCTGAAGAACATTTTACTGCATTTTATAAATTTTTTCTCTGTACGTATTTATACCACAAAACTAAAAAAGCGTCAATTGTTTTTTTTTACGTTTTATTTTGTAAAACAAACGCATATATATTATAATATATCGTAATATTAGCACAAAAAAAGATGTAAAATGTGAGAACTTAAATTCTGGAATTGTTAATTGATTATATTAGTATATAAAAGATACAATTTAGAGCATGAAGTTCGATATACATTTAGTAAATAAGTCATATCATGTATTTGTAACACAATTAAAAATTTCATAGCATATGTAATAGGTTTTAACACTTTTTGTATAATGCAGGCCGACTTTTAATATTTTTATAAATAAATAATATATTAATTTGTATAAACATATTTAATATATTTCTAAATAAAACCCCTCGTATATTACTTATTTATTTGACACTTTATTTGTTTTGAATATATGTTAATATATATGCATGTTATTATTAATGTTATTAACGTTAGTATACCTTTATAATTAATGAATTGATGTGTTTTAAAATAACACTTTACTTATGACTTTGATTTTGAGATATATTGCACAAGGTAAAGTCCTAAAAAATTTAGGTATAGTTAAAAAAAATCGATTATTAATCTCAAAACTATTCTACTAAAATCTAAGAAACTAAATATCGTAAGGTTCCGTGGTGTAGCGGTTATCACGTCTGCTTTACACGCAGAAGGTCGCCAGTTCGATCCCGGCCGGAACCACTTTTTTTTTTACTTTTCCTTAATATACTGTTCATGTGGTAAGATCTGTCCATCTGTGTAAAAAGTATATAGTGTGTGTATAATAGAGTAAGAATGTTGTGTTGTCAATCCGTTTAAATAACGAGAGATTATTATAAAAATCTGGCATCTCATAATATAAGATATCTTATATTATTTAATAATATACGAGCACACCGAAGTGGGTATAGATATAGAAGATGGACTTTAATAATCACTCTCGAGGAATTGGACGTTTATCCCACCCATTTTTCTCTAATTCTTATTTAATTTATTTATAGAGAATCCAGTTTAATTAGAAAAATAAAAAGAAACAAATCTCACACACAATAATTTTTTCAAGTATTAATTTCTATAAATTAAATCAAGAATTAAGAAACTCGACGACGCGAAAAAATCGAGCATCATTTTATTACACGGAGTGCTGCTGGTCGATGTCGCTATTTACTCTCAACGAGAGGGCGAGAGTATGAAAAGATCCGAGTGAGAGATATAAGATGGATCGAAGGAATCTGCGAGAACGGCGAGATATGCGTGGGCGAACCGTGAGAAACCGCAGGTGACACCTTGTCATGGCGGTCGGCGGTTCGCACTTCGGACTCACACTTCGTTCTTTTTTTGGTGACAAGACAATTGAAGTAACGGTGCAGGGCCGCTTTTAGCGTAGAATTGTGAGTGAAAAGCGCGTTCAACATTTAAAATTTCGTGAATATATTTAATATACTGTATAAATTGTGTGTGTATATATTGTATTATTTATTTAAAAATTTTATGATAAAGTATGTTATATATATGCAAAACAGATTATTAATGTTACAATAATAAATCTATAAAATTTGAAAGAAGTTCAGAAATTTTACGGATTCTGTAATGCATTTTTTTTTTTTAGGAATACATCATAAAAATGGAATAAAAATTTAAATCTTTATAATCAAGGTATCTATAAAAAGTACGTATATATGTTGAAAGATTAAAAAATATTTTTTAAATATCTAGCTCCCTCTCTCTCTCTCTCTCTCTTAACAAGTACAGAATCTTCGACGTTTGCTATAGTTCGATAGAGTGGCCTGTCGGAACAAACGCCCGTCCCTGTGCATTGAACGTCTTCTAGCGCGGTAGGAGGGCGATAAAAGGTTTCCTTGTTTAACAAAATATCGTCTCCGAGCCATTAGCCCGACCCGTTACCACTTCAGCGCGATTTTCTGCTCCCGCTGCCGCGTCGAGGAGGCACTCGAGGATCTGCGAAAATCCTGCGAGCTATCAAAGGCAGACCTGTCTATCTCCACCCTCCGGGACAATATCGATGTGAAATGGGAGAATTCCGTGGTTCGCTGTACTCGATAGTATCACTGTTAATTCGACCTTTACTTTCCGTCAAAATGCTCACCATTATTTTTTTATATTCCTTTAATTTATATTTAATTTGGAAAATGTTAAGATAAATTGCCTATAAAAGATTAATCCGTATCGTTAAATAATGAAATTTCATGAATAATTGTGTTATAGATTGGAAATTTAATTTTCAAAAAGGTTTCTAGAATATATATAAAAATTCTTTTAAGAATCTTTGAAATGTGTTAAGTCTTTTTAAGAGAGGTAAAAAACACATGCCAAGTACATGAAAAAAAATTCAAACTTGTTTATTTTAATTTCAGATTTAATTACTAAAATGTTTTTAATATTTATTGAATATCAAAAAAATACGCAAAGAAATTCTTCATAAAATTTATATAAAAGTTTCTTAATTCTAAAAAAGATAGAGATTTTGTATCAAATTTAATATTTATAAATATCTATCATTAAAATTCAATTCGGAGGAATTCCATCGTCTTAAATATAAATTCAATCGAGATATATTAATTATTATACAACGTAATTAATTAATTATAATATTAATCATCAATATTTAATTATATATTTATATAAAAGTATATTTCGCAAATCTTTTAGACTTCGAAGCTAAGAAATTTTTTTTCTTTAAAGTCACGATTATTTCAGTATATTCTTAAAAAGGAATTCTAGGCATCGTACATAAACTATCTAATAGATAAAACAACGGCCTAATCGTAATTGCATATATGTATTCTGGAGATGGCGATCATTGATTTCTAGGGAAATAATAAATGAAATATTCAGGGGCACCGTATGTCATTACGCTTGTCTTGCGTAACCGTAACGTCGCAGCGCCGTGAGAAACAGCCAGATGTTACAGTCACTTCCAGCTTACGGTAACAGAAATTGTATATATTCCAACGAGGTCTGTCGCACATCTTCGTTTAAGGATCAATCTTCGCTGAAATCGATTTATAGTTTGAATTCATTTAAAAATTATGTAGCGTAACTATTAATGGAAGAAGAGCGAATAATGCGCGTGTCAGACACCAATGAAAAACATGTATAATGCGTGCTACAGGATTTGAATTTTTTAAATAATTTTCAAGTAATTTCCTGATAAAAGTTTAATTTAACTTTTGCATGTTTAATTTTATAGATATTGTTATAATTAACAGATATATATATATATACAGGGTATGTGTGCGTGAATTGCACATGTGCAATCAAAAAAATTTGTTATGAGATTGGTATACAAATTTTTAAGTTTCTAAAAAATAGAGATTTTTTATACAATAGTTATATACGCACACACACACACACACACACACATATATATATATATATATATATCTACGATAGC